CCAAAACCAGACCCTGAGATGAGGGTTTGCACTTAAGTGTTTTCTTTGGGAGGTGATTTAAGGAAGCACCAGCACAGAGTGGGAAAGGCAGAGTCAGGGGCACTTTGGGAGTCAATAAAGGGATCATATTGGCAGGTGCCCTCAGTGAACAATAAGAACTTAATCTCACTGGAGGACATTGGGAGACATTGTTGTTTGTGTATCAGAGTAATCCCACTTGCGCAAGTAGAACTTGAGGGTATTTATCCTTCAACTGCCATCATCCTGGGCTGAGTGGTGGTCACAGGGGCACTAAGTTGCATCTCCATCTGCCTGCCCAAGCACAGGCCAAGAGAAAGGCCTCCAAATCTATGCAGCAGGACACCAGAGCTATGGACTAGAACCATTAGTGCCAAAAAGAGGGCATGAAGCAACAACTGTGTCCTGCAGACAGGCTCTAGGACACAGCATAGAGGAAATTCATAAGAAACAGCAAGAGTTATACAGCCATATCATTAACGTGAATTAAAAACACAAGCAGCAACACCACGTTACTGTGGCCACATCACACTCACACCATATATTCAGACTAATTTTGGACACAGGGCCTTGGGGAGCAGGGAGTGGTGAGTGGTACTGAGGATGGGGGATGACTGGCAGAAGAATAAAAACCAAGTGGCTTCATGGAGATTGATGAAGAAATGGTATCATAAATTTGGGAGAGTAATTTTACATCTTGATTTTTTTCCTGCCTCTTCTAGTTTAATGAATATGCTTTTCTGGGACTGAGGTAAACCCTCAACTCCCACATTACATCTAGGACATCTGGCTTCAGGCTCCCTAAAGCAAGGACTGTGTCAAATACAAGATCATTCCCCTCACTGCCTGTGTGACCTAAGGCCCATCAAATAATGTAGCCTCCAACCTTTTCCAATGAATACATTTGAACAGGAGGTACACAGGACAGCCTAAGGCCCCACAACTACATTTCCCAGAGATCCCTGTGTGACTATAGGGAGGGGCTGTTTGGAAAGCCAGGAAGGGCACTTCCTGTACTGACCTCAAGTGGGAGGAGTGAAGTCAGTCTAGTTCCTGGTGTGGGTCCTAGTTGAACTGGGTAAGTGACTCTTTTTAGCTTTGAAATGGGGGCTTTTTCCTATCTAAAATGTGAGTCCAGGAGGCTAGATACTACAGTGCGCTTGAATTCCAAGTCCAGAGGTGGTTCAGAAGGTAGGTGACACCTACTTAGAATCCTTATGCTGTAAGGACTGTACATGTGAAGATAATGGACCCTTGATTCAAACTGTCTGTGCCCACAGCAGCAGGTGCCCACAGCAGCACCTGTGGGGCTCTTTTTCGGTAA